CGCCACCGGGCTCCCCCCCCCCGCGGCTGCCCGCCTCCGCCGCGACCTCGGTCCCAGCCCCCGCCTGGGGGTCGTTGGTCGCGCGGGACCCTGTCCCCTCCAGCGTCGTCTGCCTACCCGAGTCGTGTCCTGCAGGTACGGGGTGGCATGGGCACGGGCGCCCGGGAAAGGAGGCAAGTCCAGGAGGAGGACGCGGTTTGGGGCAGGGGACACGGGGAGGGGGATGTGTGTCTGTGCACTGCCCAGGCAAGTAATAAGTCTCAGATCCTCATCCCGGAGGGGGAGAGTGCTGGGTTTCCTTTGGGGAAGGGCAGAGCAGTGAGTCTCCAAACTCCATAGATAACGGTGGGGGTAGCTCTCAGGGTGGAGGCAGTGACCCGGGACTGACTTGGGAATGATAGGGAGGAGACTCTCAGCACTGGCCTCTGGATCCAGAGGTCAGGGGCACTCCGGCAGGAGTCAGGGAGGCCAGCTCTCCCTGCAAAGAGCTCGGGGTACCATGCACAGGGCACCGTCCTGATGTCCTGGAGGGCGGCCCATGAATGTGAGTGCTGGAGACTAGGGCCGAGTAGGAGAGCTGATGGAGATGAAGCAGTGTGGAGGGTGCTGGTGGAGGCAGCCTGGGGAGGGCAGGGCAGGCTAATTGTACCCTGCTGGCTGCTGGCAGGTTCCTGATGGCTGGTGTTGGGAATGCCTGGGGGATCCGTCAGTCAGCCTGCACCTTGCTGCACCCGCACTGGGCAGCCCATGGGGCAGGCGAGCAAGATAATCCTGTCCACCCTGCAGAGATAGGGCCCCACAAGTACTGGGATAGGGGGATCCCAGGATTCTTCCTCACTCTCTACAGGGACATAGAACCCATCTACCACTCACCCACACATCCTGGAAGGTTCCACCATGTGCTGCTCTGGCTATGATTCCTGGGAGCAGAGGGGTGGGCATTTTGCCCCGCAGGGTGCTCTGCCTTGGAGACTGATGGGGCAGGGGACACCTTTTCCTGGTCCAGCTCTGAAAGACAGCATGGCACCACGGCGGGTGTACCCACAGTGACATGCTAAGATTTTCCACACGAATCTGGCCACCCAGCCTACTGGGTGGACACCAAGAAGTCCCTTTACTGAAAAGGCAGCAGAGTAGGGGCAGTGACTGTCTTGGCTGGGATGCCAAAAGGTCCCTCCGGGCAGCTACTGCAACCAACCTGTCATTTATAAATGGGCTCATGGGAGAGTCTGTGGGGTCTGGTTGGGTTTTTTCATCTTCCTGTTGGGTGAGAGAGCACCCCACTCCCTTTGCCTGCCTACCTTCCTCAGCTCCTTAAGAGCTTCATGGATGTCTCCTGCCCTACTCGGCCCATAAATTTCCCACATTGTCTCCTAAGATGGTGTGGAAGGGGGTTCTGCTCATCTCCCCACCCCAGCTTTCAAGGAACTGAGGTCTCATACCCCATTGGACACATTTGACAATTTGGCCATTCCAGGGTCCCTCAAACTGCATGCAGTCTACAAGATGTTTCTTACCTTTTAGGGGAGCTCCTTGGAGGACTTAGGAGACCTCACCCAGAAAAACACACCCTTTCATGGGCACCCAAATCTTGGCCAAGTTTTCAGAGAGGCTCCTGGTTCTTTGGGAATCCCTAAAGGTCCCAGGGACCCCAGCTCTAGGTCCAGGTTGCAGTAGGGGAGGAGAAAGGAGATCTGGGAAGGGGAGGGGTCTCTTGTCCCCATCTTCTCTGGTCCCACTCAGCCTTTAGAAACAGATTGCCCCCTCCTCTCATGGGATCTCAGGCAAACCACACTGTCGTTTTGTTTCCTCTGAGGTCACAGGAAGGGTTGGGCATCCACCATGCCTGGGCCTCCAGCTCAGAGGCCCCTCAAGGGCAGGGCCAGTCTGCCTCCCTCTCTAGATGGTGGCTTGTCAAGAGGGAGCCAGGCAGGTCCAGTCACCCACCACCCCACCAGTTGGCATTGACTTAGTCTCTGCCTTTTTTGGCTGTGTGACCTTGAGCAAGGTACTGAACCTCTCTGAGCCTTGTCTCCCATTTATGAAACGGGGTCAGGGATGCCATCTGCTTCGCTGAGTGGCCATGGGGATTAAATGCAATACTTCTAATAAAGGGCTCCACCCACAATAAGCACTAGGTGCATGTTAACTTTACATTCCCCAGGAATG